GGTGAAAAAGTTCACTCGCTTTCGAACACACACACATACAGACAGCCTCTCATAATGTGCGTTTTTGCTGGCTGTAGCAGCGCTAAACAGCGCACGGCAAAAACATATAAAACTTCCTGCCGTTGAAAAACTTAATTTGCTTTAGGCATGGTTGAAATTCTGTTTGAGACTTCGGGGCTTTACGTGAATTTCTGAATAACTGGTTAATTAAGTTTCTAAACTCTCCTAATTCACTTGCTTAAAAAAATTCGAAATCCCTGGACTTAGCAGAAAACATGTGCAAGGCAATCTACATTACTGAAATTTGAAAAGTTGCAGGTTGAAGTGTCGCAAGTGCGTGCTGAAATTGAAAAACGAATCCAGGAGAAGGAAGAAGAATTTGAGAATACACGTAAAAACCACCAGCGCGCTCTTGAAAGCATGCAAGCCACTCTGGAAGCTGAAACAAAGGCGAAACAGGAAGCACTACGCATTAAGAAGAAGCTTGAACAGGACATTAATGTTTGTCTTTTTTCACTATAAAAAATGATTGTCGCAGCAAAACATACACCAGCGCTGCTTTCAAGGTGTGTTCTGTTTCGAACTGCTTGCTTGCAAAGCCAACTTTCTTATAATTTATTTTAGTGGCCCGCTTGTTATTATGCGATTAACACGCTGGGAAGTCAAAACGTATCCCGCGTTTTCCAGTAACAGCCAACGAATGATAGAGCTACACCGTTATCATCTGTTTAACAATTTAAACTGTTCTTTTCAGCATGTTGTTTTTTCTTAAAAGCAAACTGCGGAGAAAGGATGTGAGCAAACGTAGCGATCAGAATTTTTTTTGGAAAATTATGGCTTTTTTTTCGAAACATTTTTTCTGAATAAGTGGGTTTTAATGATTTAAAAGAACACATAGTTTTAGAATTTATTTTTTGTAGGAGCTAGAAATCGCACTTGATCATGCAAACAAGGCAAATGCTGATGCCCAGAAGACGATCAAGCGATATCAAGAACAGATACGTGAGCTGCAAATGCAGGTTGAAGATGAGCAACGCCAAAAGGATGACCTCGCGTAAGCAATTTAAAAAAATGTTTTAAATGTTTTTTATTATAGTGGTCAATACTGCTACTCCCCACTGCAATAAATCTCAGATTTGCGCTAAAATAGTCTTTGAAAGAAAGACAGGCTGAGATCAAGCCTGAAGCATTTTGATTCTTGTCTGACGCAATGAATCATCATTCACTTGCAGAATTCAAACTGATTGTCGAGAACTTTCAACTACTTGATCAAATTTTTGTTTTCAGTGAGCAGCTCGCAAATGTGCAAAAGCGCGCAGCAATACTGCAAGCAGAAAAGGATGAACTCGCCAATCAGGCTGAAGCGGTTTGTCATTTTGATAGTCATTATTTTTTTTCCAACTATATTCAGTAGCGGATGAAATGATCGTACTTCGAAAACGCGATAGGGAATAACCGGAATTTTTTGCGCTAGAGAAAGACGGAGTTTCATCTAAGATAGCTGAATTCCTGAAAGCTGAAAAAAGATGAATCAGGTGGAATTAGATCTTTGTTCCACAACGTGGATCAAATCATTTCAAAGCTCCCAGCGTTTAAAAAGTGTTAAATTACAACTGAAATGTAAGGAAGATTTGTTGCGGTTCTTTTTTGTGGCGCTTTATGAATTCTCTGTAGGCCGAGCGCGCGCGTCGTGCTGCTGAGCAGGAGGTAATTGAACTGCGTGAAGCGGTAAATGATCTAACAAACCAGGTCAACGCAATCAACAACACAAGAAGAAAGTTGGAAGCCGAATTGCAAGCTGTTCATGTATGTCTTTCACTTTGCGCGGTAAAAATCCGAATAGTGCCGGGTTTTTTCAATCGTTTAGGCCTTTTAAAATAAGTGTTTATTATCACAGTTTTATGTGTAGGTGCTGGCGTTTTTCCTGCAGCACTGATAGGCATAATGCTTTCGAAGAGTTTTTGAAGCGCCTCATTGATAAATATGTCTAGAGATATTAATGAGTTCTTTAATTATTCGCTAATAAGAGCACATCGTTGCAGAACTCGAGGATTTGCCTTCTGGAACAATATGTTATCACTGCATTCAGCAGACATACATACCTAAGACTCTTGAAAAAAGCAAAAGGATAATATTAACCACGCCTCTCGAGAAGACCCCTAATAACTACATTATAAAGTGTAAAAATTCTACGTTATTTTACACTGTAGTGAACTCGGGCTCATTACCACTGATCAGATGCTAAGCAATAACTGGTATATTTCGGTAGCACTTTCTGTCTCACAGTTTTTCTATCCTTAATTTCGAAATCAAATGCAGTAAGGCTGCTTTTGTTTGACGCATATAACAAGACCCTAGACTATTCCTTCATCTGAATCGGGGCAAATTTCCAGATAACGATACGGGCCATGTTGTAGGTGAAAAGGTTATGATATTTCAACTGCACCGATATGCACTGCTTTTGACAGACTTACGTGGTGGCCGAATCGTTAATAGCCATGGAAATTGACCGTTCTGTTCTGGTGTTGTCGAACTCTAGTTCTCTAGTTTGACAACACCAAAACAGAACAGTCAGCTCCCCAACTTTTTCTCGGAAACAGAGCCATTTTCAACAAATATATTTTCCCTGAGGACGAGGAAGTCAGAAACCTACTGGCATCGCTATCTGCTTAAAAATAAATTGTTATCTCTCTTGTCCTCTCTCGCCTTCTCATTTCTCTAGACTTTATGCGTTTTAACACGAGCTTATCATATACACGATGAGTTAGGAGGTTGTGCTGATGGTTTCAACTGCTACCAGCATGCTACGTTTAGCCTGTGTTTTCGTCTAAGGGATTAAACAGAGTGCTTCGTGAATTTTCTTGTCGCATGTAATACTTAGACTGTTTTTTATCCCCAGTCCTCATATTTGAAAACTATGGAACGGGAAGAGAAAAGTACTCGTATTAAACCGCATAAACTTTTGAATTTAGCATGTTGTTTTTAGGTAGAGTTGGATGATGTTACGGCGCAGCTGAAGAGTACGGACGAAATGCTGAAACAAGCGTCGGCTGATGCAGCACGTCTTGCTGAAGAATTGCGCCAGGAACAGGAGCACTCCATGCATGTCGATAGGATGCGCCGCGCGCTCGAAGTGCAAATCAAAGAAATGCAGGTACACTACTGCTCTAAATTAGAGAAGTATGAATTAGTGCGATAAAAGTCGTAAAGTTATTAATGTCACCTTAGAATATAATACTGATAATGTAATGTCACAATCAGTTTGCTTTTAAGCATTGCTTGGAAAAACCGCTTTGATAGGAATTTTCTTGATATGGCAAATGTGGAATATAATTGTTAAAAACATAGAAGTATTGTTTTTTCTTTTTGTTAGGAAGTTAATATTTACCGTGCGCTTTCTGAAAAGCAAAAACAGTCGCTACTTCCTTCCTTACTGAAAGACTAAACTAAGATAGCTAAAAAAGCTGTGTAGGTAAACTTAAGCTGCTGAACTTAGATTGTCGAATTTAAGCTGCTAAACTTTAAGCTGAAAGAGGCCAAAAGGCATGAAAATTTATGTACGATAAGAAAAGTTGTTTTAGAAGACAGCGGACCATAAATTGGTTGTCAATGCTTTTTCTTAGCTTTGGATGTTCTGTTGCAAGCTGTTTTTCGAAGTTGCAGGCTCGCTTGGATGAGGCCGAGCAGGCAGCGTTGCGCGGAGGACAGAAAATTATTGCAAAACTGGAGATGCGTATCCGAGAATTAGAGCAGGAATTAGATGGCGAGCAACGACGAAGCTCGGACTATGAAAAGGAGCTGAAAAAGGGAGATCGCCGTATCAAAGAGCTCGAATTTCAGGTTTTTGTTTGTAATTTGCCAGCACTTAAAATTGGCTGAGTGCGTGCTTCCAGTACTGAACGGGAGGGTATTTTTGAATATTTTACTGGAAATTACTTTGGCCAAATAACAACATTTCAAAATTTAGTGCGAAGAAGACAGGAAGAACAGTGATCGACTGACGGAGCTCGTTGACAAATTGCAAGTCAAAATAAAGGTTTACAAACGCCAGCTGGAAGAAGCCGTTAGTTTGCGATTTTTTTAAAGCATAGTTTTTTGTCTGCTTTTTTATGGTGATGCTTTAAATTGACAGCTTAAAGGAGAATCCTTTAACTGATTTTAAAAGGTATTTGAAGCGAAAAAATGATTCGATAAATGGTTTCCCTTCAATAAGGTTGATGCCTTGCACCTCCCCAGCTACATTGGGCGTTATGGCTGGTTTGTAGCTCTAACATAATTTTTGTGCCACACGATGATTTTAATGCTTCTTCTGTTTCATAGATAATGTACAGAAGCGAGCGGCATTGAAGAGTTTCATGATCTCTTATTGATCAATTTCACTGACTTCTCCGTATGCTTACGTTTTTCAGGAAGAAGTGGCAGCTGTAAATCTAGGCAAATATCGCCAGTTACAAACACAGGTGGACGATGCAAACGAACGGGCAGACATTGCAGAAAATTCATTAGCAAAGTTGCGCTCCAAGAATCGAGCCTCGACAATGGCGCCACTGGGCGTCAGTGCCAGCGCAAGCTTCATCCGGATGTCTTCCCAATCCGATATGATTGATTGAGAATTCAGCATCGTTTTTTCTATGCTTTAAGCAGCAGCTTTGCCTTCGAAGTCTTAAAGCTACGTTTTTTTTTATTTCAGTCCGAACTGCCGTTTTGCACACTTCACATTTCGGAAGCCTCTTAGGAATTACTGCGCAGTCATAACTGTATTGCATTTATCCATTACATATTGCAAGCCCTCTTCTGCCTCCTCATTATTATGCATTTTTTACACGCTACCCACTAGCGTAGCCAGAAACTGTGTCCCCGTTTCACAAGAATACATATTGGAATTTTGATTTCCACCAAAAAATCAGTACCTCCTTGAGTCAGTCAAAAACACTTCTAATTTAAATTTCCCCAGAACGCTCTATCGAAAAACTGGCTACGTTGCTGAGTATAACAGATCTTGTCTTCGGGATTCTTTGTTACGTTTCGGGCCTGTTCCATCTCCTGCTTCGAACTGGTGCTACCATGTATAGCATTTCATTTTTTCACACATACGCTTTCAGTCCCTCGGAAGAGCCGTTTATAAGTATCCACTTGTTCCCGACATTTAATCCTTATTTGTTGTGCTTTGAACTGTACTGGACACCTAAACAACAGTGCCTCAGGGTGATCTGTGTCTTCCGACGCATTGTCACAGCGAATGGATTATAATCATCCGTCCTCATTTCGCCATCCTGTTCTTTATCTCGTTTTCAAGGAATGATGTGTGCAAAATGTGTTTGCGCATTACGCTTGAAATCGCTAGCATGTTGCTTTCGACGCGTTTTTCGAACAATCCGCTTCTGAGTGAATGCGCATGATCGTTTTAACTGATCTTTTAATAATGTTATAATTCTTTTACTGCTGAATTATGTGCCATGATTAAAAAAGGATTTTGTGCTCTTTCAAAATTTCGAATCTACATCTTAAATCTGCAGCTAGTTGTTCCGGTTCTCCAGTTAGGAATTTTTACGCCAAAACCTTCACACGCCCAAAAGTGAGACGCAAATGTGCGTGAAAGTTGGTACCACGTTCATGGAGTAGCATTTGGCCAAGGAATCCACTGGTGCTGCCTCACCAGAATTTCCTTCGCAGCTTGATCTCATCGAACATACATATCTTTCGGTTATAACACTCGTTGACCGATAACTGCCTTTATCACTATATATCCGCTTTCTTCACCCACGACCAATATTTTCACGTAGATCAGGCACCGTAACATTAAGCCAATTTTTATTTACCAGTTTTTTTGGCCCTACAGGATTGAAATTGCAGGCAACATTCTTTTCGCCATGGTATTTGTCTCACAAAAATGATTGTTCACGAGCACTCGCATATCTTGTTCTACAAGTGAAATGGCAAAGTCTGAACTTGAGCTTTTGAAAATTATTTTGGCAGCAAGAGAGTATAAAATGTTAGACAGTGGTAAGGCTTTGTTCTGCCAGCTTACGTCTCCGGCTAAGTGTAAAATCCGATTGCGCAACGAGGCGTTAATTTTGTTCAAAAACAACTCATTTCATAGCGCAGAATTAAATTACAACAAACAACGAAAATGACTCTATTGTCAATAGAAAATGTAAACTTCAGAACTATTGAGGCTTAAAACCGGGCTTAGTTTGTGGAATGTGTTTTAGTGAAACCACTTTTGTAATGCGATGGCTCGGGAAAATCTGCATTAGGGCATCGAAAATAGTGATATGAACGAAAGTAAAAACTTGTCCACATTTCATATTCTGTTCGAGCAACAACCATTCACTGGCAAGACTGATGAAAGCTCTCTTCGATTATTGTTCTAGAAGCAAACTGAAAGCGATCCTGTCTTTCCGGCTTACGTCAGTGCAAAAATAACAAAAAAAAAAATTGAAGAAAAACAGGGCTTTCGAAAAATAACTGTGGAAAACTGCATTTGACCTCAGTCAAAACCAGATTGGAATGCATCGGGCGGACCATTGCGATCATTCGTTTTTGCACCGGACTTGAAATACTCAGGTCATTAACTGTATGAATGGTTTTTCCTTTACATCTATCTTTTGCGGTCACTAGCATAAATCACCAGAAAGTTTGCATAAAGTAAATGTACAGTTTCGATTTAACGGTCGTTCTTTAAAAGTAACCTCGCTTTTCAGTGAGAAATTTTCCCACCAAAACTTTTAATTGCCCCTACGTAAGAACCACGCATACCTCAAGGCAGAATTTGGAATATTTGAGCTGTATTTTGGACAGGGAACATCCCCTTAAAATTTCAGCTTCCTAACTTTTCTCGAGCCAGTAATTTTCCTGCCAAAACTTTCACATGCTCGTACTTGAGTACCCCAGTTACTTGGGAAGCTGAATTTGAAACCTTTAAGTTGCAAGTAGACAGGGAATATCGCTTTAAAATTTCAGCTTTCCAGCTTTTCTGATTACCAAGTTAGCAATTTCCCGTCAAATCTTCCACGTGCTCGTAAGTGAGAACCAAGCAAACCTGAAGGCTGAATTTGAAATCTTTAGCTCACACATACACAAGGAATATTCTTCCAAAGTTTCAGCCCCTTATCTTATCTGGTTCCCGAGACCGCCTTCCCGCCAAAAAATCTGCATATTTATTTAAGACATCCGTACGCGGCACGCAGGCGTAAACGGCTCATAATATAAAGACGGGAGGGTCGCGTATGGTGTGGGCGTATACTCCCAAAGTTTCAGCCCTCTAGCCTTCCTGGTTCTCGAGTTGAAAGTGGGTGACAAAAAGTGCGAAAACACAGACACACACACAGCCTCTTTCCAGTATGCGTTTTTGCAATTTGCATATATGCAAAAACGCATAAAAATTGCTGTTGTAAATTTAATTGCATGAATTCTCCAGAAGGCAGTGCTTCGGAATTTCTACACAGCTTTCATTGCTTCGGCCCTAATTTTCTGCTAAATTGATCGCTTTTATTTTGAAATACTTAGGATTCTCAACAGTCTGAACTAAACAGCGCACTTGGGGAAACACATTTATTTATAATTTTTGCCTTATGTAGTCAAATTATGTGTGTTGTTATCAAATTATGTGCACAGTCGATGAATGCTCCTTTTGGCGCTGCAGAAGCTGCTTTGCCCCGTGTAAAAATGTATACTGCATGCCACTTCAAAAGTTCTGCATAAAAAATTTGAAGGAATCACAGACAAAAAGCATCTATTACAACAAGTTATGGCATAACGATAGAGTAGCACTAATCATAACAAAATATCTTTTAAAAGTCGGATGCCTTTGCGTCTTACACTCTCTGTAAACAGTTGTGGTACTCAAAGGTGATCAGAATTATAAGGCGCTGTCCGCTTTTCATCGAAACTATCGATAGCTTGGCAAGTAAGTCGCACATGTAATAACTGCGAATTTCATAGATATTCCATAACAATGCGTTTAGAGGCCAAGTCCTTCCGCAGAGCCTAAAAATGCCTGCGAATTTCGTTTCAGTGATTTTCGTTTCAAAGCCGTCGTTGGTCGTTTCACTTCCATCGAGCAGATTTTAGAGAAAGAGTGTAGCGCCTAATTATTGAGCTGCTACTTTTATATCTCTGTTCCGCGAAAAAAGACAAATTGCTGGAAAAGACATTGCTTGCTCTGCTAAATTTTGTCGGTATTCCGAAAAGATCGAAAGAATCGCTCTGATTTTTGAAAAAATGAACAAACAAAACATTTTAATTAATCAGATAAAAGGCAGAACTTATATACAAGCATAGTTTGGAAATACTTAGGTTAGCTCATAACATGATATTTAACAAAACTATGCGAGCAGCGCTCGGAACGATGTAACAACTTCCATTGATAAAAACGTAAAATTAAGATTGGCTTGCTTTCGTTCAGTCATTAATCGGTCCGAAAGCGTATACGTATAGACGTTTCCATCACCGAATGCAGTGTTCTGTTGTAAAGGTTCGTCACGATCTTGCTCTTGGGTAACAGAGGCTACTTTTAGTGAGTATTGAACTGAAGTAAGATTTGTAAGCGGTATGAACGGCATCACCCGTTCCGGCCCCAGGTGAAGCTCAGTTCTCGTCATCACTGACATCGATATGAAGAGCGCTGAATGATTCACAATTTATTGATGAATCGTCTTGCACAGCTCTCCTGAAAAATTCTGGATTAATAGTAGTTCTGTAAATTTAACATCACCTTTTGAAGAGTCGTTCGAGTGCCACTCAACATCGCTCCGGATACCTCTAATCAGTGTCCGGTCTATTAAAAATTTTTACATGGGTAACAAAGACAGGCCTTGTCTTACAGCTGTTGGCCGCTATATGCATTTCTCTCCAGGAAACAGGGGAAACTAACCAGGAACAGAAACGTACGAGGTTACCAGCAAGATAATCGTCATATGAATTGCCGCCGCGTATGGCGATCATAGAAAACTTGTCGGCTGTAAGAATGAAGCGGAAGCTGCGCTAAAGTAAGCCCACAGTTGATCACAGTATCAAAGTGTCTATGCTGATTTTGCAGGCATGGGCGACGTCGGTATTAGTGAAAGTAAAATTATAGGCTAGATTTTATCAAATTTCATTTATGCCAAACTGAAAGGAAATTCACTGCGCTGGTGTTTATAAAAACGAGCAAGAGATTAATCTCGCTTTTACGAGCAAGTGGCACTTCGAACTGCGCTTTGGACGACGAATTTCAAGTTCGCGAAAACGGTTGCCAAATAAGCTACGAGTTACTAAAGTAAGCTTTAAGGGAAGAAACGAAGTGGAAGGGCACCAATTTTAACTAATAAAAATGGACTGGGGAAAGAATGGTTGAAAAAAATTTGCCCAGATGCTTCATTTTGTTCAAATAGCGCTAAATTTTAGTCCCCATTTTTCTCCAAATACTGTGTGGGCTGATATGCACTGGAATTATTTGATTCTTTACAAAAAGAAAGAGCTGCCTCCTACTAGCACTACGACAAAAACAGCTTGCATGAAATGCATTTATGAGTTTACTTTTCCAGTTTTCAACTCTCCTTAAAAATTCAAAGAAAGCGCAGACGACGATTTAGAAATATTTTTGCATTTAGAAATATTTTTGCTTTCCATTAATTCAGTTTTCAGTCGCACTTGTTAAACTCCACAGCTCACTCACCTAGGTTCCTTCCTTTTAAATAATTCTTTCAAATAAATCCCGCATTTTCTTTGTTTAAATTTTGCGCCTTCAAAAATAATTGACTCGCAGTTCGGGCAAAATCTGCGTTCATCTTTTCTTCTTCTGAACTGTTTTTTCTGCTCAGAAAACGTTGCATAAATTTACTTTTTTTTTCAAAAAAAGAGCCAAGCAAAGCGCGACTTAGCAAATTCTGTATCGGAAATATGTGATGATGAAAAGAACTATCCTATTTCCATGTTTCTAACTTTCATAGTTCAAAAATTTGGTCTGGACCGACACACACTTATTCCAAGAAGTGAATGCATGCATACACGTGTGTTAGAAACTGAATGCTTCAGTAATACACAACAATTTACTGCTATAGAAATGCATGTCGACCTTGTGGTTGCCAAACTGTCACGTGGTGATGGGCTTCGTAATCGTTTCTTGTACTTATCATAAAAAATATCATTGGCAGAACGTGTTTTTCCAATATCACCCAGCAGCTTATGGGCTTTGATCCTGGACAGTTTTGAATGTGGAATTTTCACTTTTTTTTCGTCGTATGCTGAAAGCTTCTTTTTAAAGTTTTTAGTAGAAATTTAATATGCCTTAGCAGTGTTTCACGACACTGAAGCTTCGAATAGCTGTAATTTAAAACATTTAACAAATCTACTTGCAACTTAAAACATCTAACAGTTCAACGAGCACAAGTTCTATTAGGCATCTGATGCAGCAATAATTGCTACGGTACTAAATACAGCACAGTGATCGTGACAAGCGCTATGTTATACAGCAATTGATATAGCGTTATATATAGAGTACGGTAATCGTGCCTTTGGACACGGGCTTACTGGTCGTTGGCTGGACTGAAACATTTTGCTGCCTAATTTTGTCGTTACGCATTTCCACAACTAAAAAATCATGGATATTATTTGATGTAGCTGCTAACTCTGCTATGGCCAAGGATCTAATTTGCAATGCTACTAACCACTTTCATCGTCCTACTTGACAGTTCCGTTCCACAACCTTGGAACATTAAGTGAACACATTTGTGTTCACCAGTTAGAACATCACTGATGACGAGGAGAGAAAGAGTGAGCAAAATGATCGAGCGGAACAAATCCACTTTACTAACGAGGAAGAGAGGAAATGGACAATCTTGTCGCGAAAAACTCGCGAAAAACCGGCCAAGAAGCCGCAAAAAAAGAAAAAAAGGGTGTGTCTTGCCTTGAAAGGCAGTTTCACAGTAGATGTGCTGTCAGGCTGAATCTGGAGTACAAAGACCGGTGGTACAGTGGTAACATGTTGCGTCCGGACGTGAAGAGAAGTGGTTCAATGTCCTCCCGGTCCACAGCCATTTTGAAGAAAGGGATCCATCCACGGCAAGTCTATTGATATTCTTTCGGAAATGAAACCATCATTTAGAAAAGCCACGTAGAAATCTAGCAACTCTGCGGTCTAGATAAAGGAAACGACTGGTCAGAATCGATGCCGATGTTACACTCGGGGTATGGCTGCGTGCAGAGATAGCATCGAGGCCTTATATCTAGGCATTTTGTACAGTCATCGCAAACCAGCCGACGCGTTTTTTCTTTTTTGTGGGAAAGTACTGCGCAAAAAATTATCAAGTGAATAAGCGGTGAACCAAATACATCCATTATGAAAGAATTGCTGTCCTGTAAAAATGGAATCCGTCCAAACTGATTCCCTTAGGACGCAACGAATCTTTTTTTTTCCTTTTCAGCTAAAATTTATTGTCTGTGAACTTAGTTCCTAATCGTTCAAGACAGTCAAGCACTTTCCAGCTGTAATTTCATGCTCCACCATTTTTTACATCCCGTCAAATCACTTAGTTGTTCTCCCGGTGCATCTAAGCGCACGAAAAGTGAGCGCCTTGTTATTTCCAGAATGCGTTCTGCTTAACAGATTTATTTTTTTGATGCACAGAGAAGCCACAAATTTGAGAGTTTTTAGTGATTTTCAGTAAGCGAACAAAAACTGTAATAGGAAGAATGCCAATAATAAACACATTGCAGAAAAAAAATGGTGAGATCGGTGACGTAAAGCTTACCATTGGTTACTCGTAGCGATACAAGTGGATCCAAGCTAGGAAGATGTGGATTTGACTGGGGCTTGGAAAAGAGTTCGAGATCCGATTTCACAACTTCGAAAGGGACTGCAATAGAAACGATCACTAACTGTTTTTGCATTTTCACAAAGACGACATTAAGGCTAGATTATGTCGATTTGTTTATTTATATATATATATATAT